TTATTATTATTATTACAACAGTCCTCCATCGCGTTCGGTCTTGAGCTATGTGTTTGATCTCGCTCCAAGTCTTGCCGATCTTCGCCTCGTCTGCCACAGTGCGCCGTCAAGTTTGCTTGGGGCGACCACGTTTGCGTTTTCCTTGGGGGTTCCAATCCAGAGCCTGCTTGGGGATGTGATCGGGATCCCTTCGGAGAGTGTGGCCAATCCAGTTCCACTTGCGGCGCTTGATCTGCTGGTCGATCGGAATTTCGTGAGATAGATAGAGTAGCCAGACATAATTTTTAAATCTCATTTTTGGACATACCTGAAAACAAAATCTTTTGAATAGGTTAGTGTGCATTTCTTACTTGTTTCTCTGATAGTTCATAAGAAGTGTGTTAGATTGACTGGTGTGGTTAACCTCATTCTTACCATCCTAGGATCTGTCATTCTTTACCGACTTCAATAAAAAAAGACGAAGTCACACAAATACATGCAATTACATAATAGACATTATTATGTAAGAAAAAACAAAATCAAGAGTAAATCGAGCAGTGCCACCCAATGATTCACAATCCCACTGCAACGGGACAGCATATTCCGTGGCCCACGGTGACGAAGGCTACGGCGCTGGTTTTCAGTGAGCCCCATGCCGAGTGAGGCTCACGGACCATTTATAAAATAAATAATAAGCACTAAGGCGGTAACTGTGCAGTTAGGCTTTGATGCAAATGTACGAGAACTGCCCAGCAACCGCTTGCCGCGCGGTTATAGCTCTGTTCCTGGAATACATTTTTTAGCATTTAAGGCTCGGCGCAAATGGGCCACCGACCACAGCCACCGGTGGCCAGCGACGGCGACTTAACACACTTTTTGATATATTTTGTACAGTAGCGAGTCGCCGACACTACTGTAGTCAGTGGGCACGTGTGCGGCGCGTCTATACAAAATATACACTCTGCATCAAATAAATCGCACCTCCCGCGACAAGCACTTTCAAACGTATGCATCCCCACTTCCCACCAATATTGGCACTATTTAAAAGCCTAGTTCTAAACTTCATTTCATTAAAGGAAAGGTTTTTACCCCAAAAATGTGTCTGAAAAATCCAGAGTCACTTCTTCGAAAAATAGGTAGGTAGTTACGCTTGAGCCAACTTTTATGGCTATAAAACTGTTGTTTTTTTATTTATTGGGCTTTCAAATAACACCAATATTGTTGGGGTACCATGATTGTGTCAGAAGAAAACCTTTAAAGTTCGCGTCGCGGGAGGGTCGATTTATTTGATGACGAGTGTATTAAAATTTAAAAAGTGTGTTAAGTCGCATTTGCTGGCCACCGGTGGCTGTGGTCGGTGGCCCATTTGCGCCAACACTAAGATTTGGATCTCATACAAAATTTTATAAACTTAAAAAAAACTCAATTGCCTCAGGTGTTCTCACCCCTTACTTATTTATTTTTGCCTCTTCCAGCCTAGGAGAAGATGCAATCCACAAGAAAATGGAAGAGGAGGAGGCCCGTATAGAAAGGGACAGAGGTCGCGAGGGCACGTGGTACCACGAAGGACCTCCGGAATTGAGGGACGCTAGGCTTTGGATCGCTCGGTATAGCTTGCCGAGAGCCAAACAGAGGTCAGTGGAACTATAACTAGTAATTTAGTAGCTAAACGTTCATCAAACTACCCCCTAAGGGGGTGAAAGGCGTTAAAATGTATCCCCTAAGGGGATGAAAAAGGTATCAAAAGTTACCCCCTAAAGGGGTGAAAAGGTATAAAAAGTTAACTCCTAAGAGCGTGAAAAAGGTATCAAAAGTTACATCCTAAGAGGGTGAAAAAGTAGACAAAATTTACCACGTAAGGGGGTGAAAACGGTATCAAAAGTTACCTCCTGAGGGGGTGAAAAGTTATCGAAATTTACCTCCTAAGGGGGTGGAAAACGTATCAAAAGTTACCTCCTAAGGGGGTAAAAACGGTATCAAAATTTACCCCCTAAGATGGTGAAAAAGGTATCAATAGTTACCTCCTGAGGGGGTGAAAAGGTATCAAAAGTTACCTCCTGAGGGGGTGGAAAAGGTAACAAAAGGTACCCCCTAAGGGGATGAAACGGGTATTCAACGTTAACGCTTGCGAAGTTGCGAGCAAAAGCTAGTATTATTATAATCGACTCGAGTAGGTAGGTATTAGAGAAGGAGGCCCGTAATAGAGAGAGACAGAGGCCGCGAGGGCACGTGGTACCACGAAGGACCTCCGGAATTGAGAGACGCGAGGCTGTGGATCGCTCGGTACAGCTTGCCGAGAGCCAAACAGAGGTCAGTGGAAATCTTACTATATTCAGGTGTACCTAGCTTCTGGAGAGATAAGGGGACAATGTGACTCAGAGGGGATGGTGTGGTGTGACCCATAGGGGATGGTGTGACCACAGAGGTCAGTGGTACTTGTTCGCATTAGTCGAGTAACGAGTAACTTAGTAGATAAACTACCCCCTAAGGGGTTGAAATAGGTATCAAACTGTACTCCCTAAGGGGATGAAACGGTAATCTAAAATTCACGCAAGCGAAACCGCGGGCAAAAGCTAGTATTATCATAATCGACTCAAGTAGGTAGGTACTAGAGGAGGAGGCCCGTATAGAGAGGGACAGCTTCTGGGGAGGGAAGGGGACAATGTGACTCAGAGGAGACAGTGGGGCCTAGAGGGGACAGTGTGACCCAGAAAAGACAGTGTGGCTTAAAGTGGGCACTGTGACCCAAATGGGACAGTTTTGTTCAGAGGGGTAGTGTGACCCAGAGATTTTTAGAAGAATGATGAAAGAGGTAGGTATTAGAGGAGGAGGATAGATAGAGACGGAGCCCGCGAGGGCACGTGGTACCACGAAGGACCTCCGGAATTCGCACACAACGACAATGCGTACCCAACCGGTCTGTGATCGCGATCGAACGTCGAGTCTTTCGTCATCGTAGTGCGCACTCGCTGAAATAATATTTTGTATATCTGAAATTGTTGTGAATGCTTATACTAAAACGTTTGTTTTTATTTGTATAGAGAACAATAGTGTCTAGACAAACCTAAAGAGGATTTAGGACGCTATTTGGATCAAATATGTAATTGATCAATAAAAAAACATAAAAAAAAATTGAGGGACGCGAGGCTGTGGATCGCTCGGTATAGCTTGCCGAGAGCCAAACAGAGGTCAGTGGAACTTAAAACCTAAACCTTAGCTAAACGTTCATCAAACTACCCCCTAAGGGGGTGAAAAGGCGTCAAAATTAACCCACTAAGGGGGTGGAAAAGGTATCAGAAGTTACCTCCTAAGGGGGTGAAAAAGGTATTAAAAATTTACGTCCTAAGGGGGTGAAAAAGGTATCAAAATATACCCCCTAAGGAGGTGAAAACGGTTCCAAAATTTACCCATCAAGGGGGCGAAAAAGGCGTCAAAATTTATCCCCTAATGGGGTGAAAAGGGTATCGAAATTTACCCCCTAAGGAGGTGAAAAAGGCATCAAAATTTATCCCCTAAGAGGTGGAAAAATGTATACAAAATTTATCCCATAAGGGGGTGAAAGGGTATCAAAATGTACTCCCTAAGGGGGTGAAACGGGTATCTAAAATTCACGCAAGCGAAGTCGCGGATAAAAGTCAGTATTATGAGAATCGATTTGTCAAAGATCTTAATCATTATATTTTTTTTGTATCCAGGCTAACGAAAGCCCGTGAGGACCTGCAACTAGCAGGTAGCGTAAGGGCAGCAGCGAAACAAGACTCCCAGCGAAAGGCGTCTGCCATCTCCATATATTGCAGCCAGGTAATTTACTAAATCAGTGGTTCCCAACTTTTTCTAGACCAGAACCTATTTTACTATAGTCTGGTCTGCGAGCACGTAGAATTTTGTCCAATGACCCCAAGCTACCCATCTAACCCATCCTTATCGCTCGCGTGTAATTATGTTGCAATCGCGCTCGCACACTCACTGCGGGCGCCCGTCGCACAGTCGCGACAGCAATATAATTACGCGCGAGCGATAAGGATGGGTAGCTTGGGGTCATTAGACAAAATTCTACGTGCTCGGCGACCGGACTATAATAATTTTTAATTTTACTTTTTATGCATCAGTACAAATACTTGCAGGCTATATCCATGAAATACAGTGTGTCACGTTAAAGTGTACATATGAAAATAGATGAAACTAGACCTATTTTTATCGACCAAAAAGAGGTCAAAATTTTTTTGAGATTTTTTTTTAATTTCTTGTAGATTTTTTTTTCTTCTAATTACGTATTGTAAAAAAAACGTAATAACTTTTAAGCTAAGCGGTATATCCTGATAAAATAAAAACAGTAATAATGCTAAATAAAAAATAACAGGCGATACTAAAAAAATACATAAAATACACAAAAAATGCCAACAAAAAATAAAAAAGGATACTTTTTGAAAAAAATCAGCTTCTAAATTCGTGTTTTTTTGGTTATTTGATAAATTTCTCCAAAAAATGCCCCTATAACATGTGGTTTTTATTACTTTGTATAGCCTGACCAGGAACATAAAAA